CAGGGTTCTCCAACAGATAAAGGAAAATGCAGACAAAGTTAAGGAAAAATTAGACAAAATCATGGAAAATACAGACAAAATCATAGAAAAGGCAGACAAAAGAATGGAAGAAATTGGGAAAATAATAAAGGAACAAAGTGTCAAAATAAATAAACAACTAAAAATCATACAAAAACAGCAATTAGAAATCCAAAAGATAAACAAGATTTCAGAAATGGACAGTGCAATAGAAGGTTTTAGGAGCAAACATGAAACAACAGAAGACAGGATTAGCAAAATTAAAAACAAATCCTTGGATACTACTTTGAGAAAAAAACCAAGCAAAATAAACAAACCCTGACAACAATGTGGGATACAAGCAAAAGCAAAAATTTGCATGTGATTGGAGTTCCAGGACACTGGGGGGAAAATGGAAAACTTAGGATCATAGAAGATTTCCTGACATAAAACTTTTCTAATATTGTGAAAGATGAAAAGCAGACTATCCAGGAAGCTCAACGAACCATACGTAGGATAGACCCCAAAAGAAAAACATCAAGACCTACCACAATCACACTCACTAAAACAAAAGACAAAGATCCTGTGAGCAGTTTGAGAAAAATGAAAAGTCACATACAAAAGGGAAACAATAAGACTAAGCTCTGATTACTTGGCAGAAACCATGCAGGCAAGAAGGTAATGGGATGACATATATAAAATCTTGAAAGAAAACAACTGCTAACCAAGAATAATACACCCTGCAAAACTCTCGCTCAAATATCATGGTGAAATTAGGACATTTCCAGATAAACAGAAATTAAGGGAATATGTAAAAACCAAACTAAACTTACAAGAATTATTACAGGGAGTACTTTGGATAGAGAATCAACAACATCAGAAAACAACCTGAATCTAGCACATAAGACAACATCAGTCTGATACCAGCCTAGGTAATGGACTGTCATGGTTTGAATTATGTCCCCCAAAAAATGTGTGTATCAATTTGGCTGGGCCATGATTCCCAGAATTGTGTGGTTGGCCTCCATTTTGTGATTATAATTTTATGTTAAAGAGGATTAGGGTGGGATTGTAACACCACCTTTACCCAGGTCACATCCAATGTAAAGGAAGTTTCCCTGGGATGTGGCCTGCACCACCTTTTATCTCTCAAGAGATAAAAGGAAAGGGAAGCAAGCAGAGAGTTGGGGACCTCATACCATCAAGAAAGCAGTGACAGGAGCAAAGAGCGTTTTTTGGACTGGGGTCCCTGTGCAGAGAAGCTCCTAGTCTGGGGGAACACCAAAGAGAGGAAGGCCAACAGAGAGAAAAAGCCTTCCCCTGGAGCTGACACCCTGAATTTGGACTTTTAGCCTACTTTGACTGTGAGGAAATAAACTTCTCTTTGTTAAAACCATCCACTTGTGGTATTTCTGTTACAGCAGCACTAGATGACTAAGACACGGACTATCAAGGATAAAACTAAAGTAAACAGGGAACCAGACATGTCAGTCTGTAAATGACAACAACATCAGAACACTGAAAGGGAGAATAAACAGTGTAGGTATAGAACTTTCAAATGGAGAGGAAGTCAAGGTGATATCAAGCAAAACAAAGACTGGTTCAAACTTAGGAAGATAGAGGCAAATTTCAAGGTAACTACAAAGAAAGTTAACAAACTTACTCATCAAAAGAAAGAAGAAAAATATAAAGTTTCAGTAAACACAAAATCTACAAAAATGAAAGAAACAAAAAAATATATACAAACAAAAGGAATTCAGCACAGAAAAGAGGAATAAAGAAAACGTTAACCAACACAAAAAAAGGCACTACAAAATGACAGCAATAAACTCACAACTATCAATAATTGCACTGAATGTAAATGGCTTAATGCACCCAAAAAGAGACAGAGAGTGACCGAATGGATAAAAAAACAGGACCCATCACTAAGCCGTCTACAAGAGACAAGCCTTAGAAACAAAGACATAAATTTATTAAAAATCAAAGCATAGAAAACATATATCAAGCAAACAGCTACCAAGAAAAGAGCAGGAGTGACAATACTAATCTCAGATAAAATAGACTTTAAAACAAAATCCACCATAAAAGAGAAAGAAGGGTATTATATAATGATTAAAGGGACCATCTACAATTAAGACATAAGTATAATAAATATATGCACCCAATGACAGGGCTCCAAAATACATAAAACAAACTAACAGCACTGAAAAGAGAAATTGACAGTTTCACAATAATAGAGTCTTCAACACACCATTCTCGGTAAAGGATGGAATATCTAGAAAGAAACTCAACAAAGATACAGAAGATCTAAAAGCCACAATAAACCAATATAACCTCATACACATATATACAAAACTCCACCCAACAGCAGCAAATTACACATTTTTTTCCCAACACACATGGAACGTTCTCCAGAATACACCACATCTTAGGCCACAAAGCAACTCTCAACAAAATCCAAAACATTAAAACAAAGCATCTTCTCTGAACACAACGCCATCAAAGTAGAAATTAATAACAGGAAGAGCAAGGAAAAAAATCAAATACATGGAAACTGAATAACATCCTGCTTAAAAACCACTGGGTAATAGGAGAAATTACAAATAGTGGAGTACTACACAACGATAATGAACAATGATGAATCTGCAAAGCATCTCACAACATGGATGAATCTGGATGGCATTATGCTGACTGAAATAAGTCAATCACAAAACGACAAATCTTGCATGAGACCACTACTATAAAAACTCATGATAAGGTTTACACACAAAAATAAACGATCTTTGATGGTTACAATGGAGGGGAGGAGTGGGAGGGAAAAACACTAAATAGACAATAGGTAAGTGGTAACTTTGGTGAAGGGTAAGACAGTATACCATACTGGGGAAGCCAGCAAAACGTGTCCCAGGCAAGGTCATGGAAGCTCCATAGACACATCCAAACTCCCTGAGGGACCAAATTACCGGCTGAGGGCTGTGGGGACCATGGTCTTGGGGAACATCTAGCTCAATTGGCATAACATAGTTTATCCTACATTCTACTTTGGTGAGTAGTGTCTGGGGTCTTAAAAGCTTGTGAGCAGCCATCTAAGATACTCCACTGGTCTCACCCCATCTGGAGCAAGGGAGAATGAAGAAAACCAAAGACACAAGGGAAATACTAGTCCAAAGGACTAATGGACCACAAGTACTACAGCCTCCACCCGACTGAATCCAGGACAACTAGATGGTGCCTGGCTACCACCACTGACTTCTCTGACAGATATCACAATAGAGGGTCCTGGATAGAGCTGGAGAAAAATGTAGAACAAAATTCTAACTCACACACACACAACCAGTCTTACTGGCTTGACAGACACTGGAGAAACCCCTAGAGTACGGCCTCCCAGACACCCTTATAGCTCAGTAATGAAGTCACTGCTGAGGTTGATTCTTCAGCCAAAGATTAGACAAGCCCATAAAACAATATGAAACTAAATGGGCACACCAGCCCAGGGTCAAAGACAAGAAGGCAGGAGGGTACCAGACAGCTGGTAATGGGCAACCCAAGGTTGAGAAGGAGAGAGTGTTGACATGTTGTACTGTTGGCAACCAATGTCACAAAACCATATGTGTATTAATTGTTTAATGAGAAACTAGTTTGCTCTGTAAACCTTTATCTAAGTACAATAAACAGAATTTTTTAAAAAATAAATACAAGTTCTTCTGTCCTTTAATTACATTCCTTCCCAATAAAGTACTGATGTTAATGAGACCACAGATTGAAAGATGAAGCACTTGGAATCCAGAACACTCACTTTGTTTGAATGCCACTTATTTCAAATAATGCTCACATCAACCTGGCTGATGACATGAGGCAATGGGAGAACATCCACTAGTCGTCCTTTTTATCTCAGAACTTGCTACTTTCATATCCTTAATACAAACTGCTTGTCATGATGGTCCAGGCAATACCCACTAGATGGTGTGTGTATTCTTAGTCCTAAAAGAGCTGGATGGTTGGCCAAGATGCTATATTTTACTTCTGGTAGAAGAGATTATCTTGGCTACATGTTGGCTACATACTGGCACTCACGAATAGGCCTATAGCTAACTGAAAAGACGAAAATTGAAAATTGTTCACACCCCCTTATGAAACACTGGGGAATCAGGGAAATTCATGAGATGGTCAAACTGAAAGGAATCTGAGATTATTTAGCACAGCACTAGCCAATAGAACATTCTGCAATGATGGAAATGTTAATATCTTCACTATCTAATACAGTAGCCACTAGCCACATGTGGATCCTGAGCACTTGAAATATGGTTAGCACAACTGAAAAACTGAACTGTTCATTCTATTTAATTTAAAAAGCTAGTGCCTATTATATGGAACAGCACAGATGTACACAGTGTGGCTTAATGAATTTGGAGCTAGAAAAATCCTCAGGTCCAAATCCTGGACACTATCATTTATTAGCTATGTAACTTTGGTCATGCTATTTATCTTATCCAAGTCTCAGTTGCCTCATTTGTAAATGAGGATATACCACTACCTCACAAGGTTGTTGTGATTTGAGAATACATATAAAGCACCTACCCCAGTGCTCAGCACATACCGAAGTCAATTCCAGTTCATAGCGACCCCACAGGACAGAGTAGAACTGCCCCACAGGGTTTCCAAGGAGCAGCTAGTGGATTCAAACTGCTGACCTTTTTGGTTAGCAGCCATGTTCTTAACCACTGTGCCACCAGGGCCCTGCTCAGAACACAGTAGATAGTAAATACATTTAGCTCATACTATCAAGCTCCTCATCTTTCAGATGGGGCAACTGAAGATACAAAAGGAGAAGTGACTTGTCCACTAGTTGGCAACATAGCCAGGAGCCAATTCCAGATTTTCTAACTTTTTTCTATACTGATTTTTCTTATAGAAACTACCCCTCCAGACCTTTGACGAATGATAGACTAATAGACTACTAAATCACTGTAAAAAACATCTTTTACATTTGAAAGAAAATGTACCTTGGTAAAGCCTATTTGCTCCTTCCGGAAATTTTCCAGGGGCTTGATCAGCAAATCACTAGCATTGTGTACCTAGAGAAAAAGAATAAGCACACAAAACAACTTTGAGGTTAATAAGGTTCAGATACAAGATTCCTTGTTACTAAGGCAATTTCCTTGCAATATACAACCCCACAAAGTATTAACTGGTTTGTTGGTTAGTCTGTTTGTTTTTGTTACAGTCTTTTTTCCACATTGGTCTTAGAAAATCAAATGCTTAGAGAGGAAATGAGAGAAGGAACATTAGGGGCATTTCTCTGTAACTTTACTGATAGTCTGATCTGGGTTTTTAATCCATAAATATTCAGAGTCATGTCTATCACACATGGGGACCTGGAATACATGTGGAAAAAAGAAAAAAATAGAAAATACATGAAAAGGCCAACTGCACCAAGTGCAAACCATTTCATAGTAGGCAAATGAGTTAGCAGTAATAGCATCAGGATAAATTCCAGGATAAATCATTTCCAGTGCTGCCCTGCTGTGTCATAAAACCAGAGCATTTCCTTCAGCACTTGGAGTGTATTATAGCATCATTGAGCACACTGAACCAGGTCTTCAAATTACCTAACTATAGATGCTCGGGAGCTGATGGGTACTAAAAATATGGGCATTTATATTTGGTTCTAAAGATATAAAAACATCCAATCCAAACTGGACCCCTTGCTCAGTGGGCAGGTAAAGTATAAGTTCTGTCCTCATATAAACCTCTTGGGAGATTGCATGTGTCCAAGGCAACAAGTAGGGTTTGGTTCCTGAGTGGTGAGAGTTAACTTGACTAAAATGGAAGGTCTCAGAGAAGGCATCTGAAGGGCTGGCTTTTAGGAACCACTGCATTAATTTCTGATCTATTACTAAACAGGGAAACAATAGACTGGCTTTCCTGTCATATTAGACATAAAGCATCAAGACAAAACACATCTTCACAACAAAAACAGAAGACAGAGCCAGTTTTAACCATTCATGTATTCTCCAGACTAAGAAGCAATTTTAAACCTACCACCAAAAAGCATGTCAATTTGGGTCCATCAGCACATATTTTATCCAGGTCCTGAAGGCCTCCTGTTTGTGTCCAGGTATGATTCAAGGTTCAGCTAAATGGGCAATGTCCTAACAAGGCACTGCTAGTCTTTATGTGAGAACAACCTTGTGATCTCTGTCCTCCTAATCCTAATACTCCTAATACTACCATCCAGGACTGCCCACATGCAACAGGAATATAAAACTTGGAAAGAACAAGTAATTTTTGCCTTAGGGTTAGAGTAATCCTCTATATGTCTCCTGATCACCAGTATTTCTATGCCTGGCCTTCAAAACCCTGTTTGCTACAAGCCTAGCCTTATAAAATCAGGTAACCCACCCCTCCCCTTGATGATTCTTCTAAAAACAGACCTCTTGTCTGCCAATACTTCCAGGCTGTATCTGATTCTCATCTCATCTCTTTTCATCTACTGGATCTACGAAACTTTCCATATCCCAGTTGGTTCTAGTCATACTATAACTTACTTCCCAGTATGACACTTAGGGCTCCCTATATCCCTGGGTGTGTTCATTAGCCAATGGCAAGGAAGTCCATGGATTCATACCTGCAAGATACCCCAGTAGAGGCTTTTCTACAGAGGTCACTGATACCTACAAAGATTCACTTTGATCTCACATCCAATCACAGCCCAACTAGCAAGCCTTGGTATAAAAAGTAAAGATACTGGTGACTCTCCTTGATTGGAAACAAGAATTTTTCTGTGGGAAATACTAGCCTACACACACTACACTTTATTGGACTGTGGTTTATGTGCTATCAACTTTGTGTACCCACCTGGAACCAAATTAGGTCATTGGTATCATAAATGCAATGCAAGGAGTCATTTTTCTTCTTTACTATTTTGGCAGTTTTCAAACCTGGCCACAAATTCTTTGATATTCCTCCCATTGAGAGGTGATGTCTATGTACTCTACACCTTAATGTGAGTAGGCTTGTTACTGCTTTTACCAACAGAGTACTAAAGAAGTGGCACTATGTGATTTCTGAGGCTAGGCCATAAAAGGCCTGAAGCTTCCACTTGGAACACTTCATTTGGGAGCCCCTGAGCCACTTTGTAAGAACTAGGACTACCCTGAGACTATTAAGCTGGAGAGGCCAAATGTAGACACTCTGGTCAACAGTCACAGCTGAGTCCAGCCATCAGTTATCTCTACCAAGGTGCCAAATATGTGAGTGAAGCAGTCTTAGACCCTCCAGATCAACCCATCTCCCAGGTGAATATCATCAATATGGAGTGTGAGAATCATCCAACTGAGCCCTGCCTGAATTCCTAACCCACAAAACAGTGAAATATAAGAAAATGATTTTAGTTTAAGCCACTAAGTTTTAGGGTAGGTTGCTATACAGCAATAGAGAACTAGAAAACCTATTAACCAGTTTCACAAAGGTAACACCAAAAAGTGGCCACCTGGGAAACACTGAAGAAGTTTGTCTTTGAATAAGACGTGATAATACCGTTTCCAAAGAGAGTAACATGGGCTACTAAATATGCAGGCAGCCCCAGGATGGTAGAGGGTTCCTGCTTTTTCATGACCAAAGGGGATTTTCCTACATAAGCAAGTGTGTCAGCATTGTCTCACACAGGGTCCACAGGTCACTGCTTTTTACATGTTTGACCCCAGTTCAGTCTAGGAAAGTAGTACACAATTCACTACAATTGGAGTCGATAGCTTTCTCTTAGTTAGACTGGTGATATTGCTCCCAGTCCCCTACAACACAGATACTCTGAACTTTTTCCTCTCTTTAACACTCATTGGTTATTGTATTACTTTCTGCCAGAACAGAGAGCTAGAGATGTAGGCAAAGGTTATGGTGAAGACTGGCTCTGTTTTCCTTTTCATTCTGTTTTATCTTTAAACTTCTTAGAAGTCTAGCAACTACTTAAAAAAATTCTTTTGAGGAGAATTGGTCTTTAGTGCCCTTTCTGATCGCTGTGTCCATTTTGGAAGCTCTTGGGGAGAACAGCTCTTACCTGCTATCCCACAGTAGAGTCTTCAATATGGGAAGTAACATCCTAAACACATTAGTGAATTTATCTAATCAGGTTCCTATTAGATGAAGTCCAAACTAACACTGGATTAAGGCACTTGGCAGAATAGAGACAGTATTCAACCCAGTAATGTGGGACTACTCAGGAATCTTCAATGGTTAACCAGTTACCAAAAGATGGCATTGAGGATGCACTGTTTGAAATATTATGGGCCTCTTTAGAGGATCCTTGGTGGTTCTCAAAGACAGAACTTGCACATTGCCAACAGAGTCCCCTTCAGAGTAAAAAAGGCATCCAGGCGTACCTCCTATCTCTGATCATATAGGAAGTCTGTTATCCACACTTTTAAAGGCCACCTTCTGAGATACTACTACCTCCCCCAGATATCTATTCTACTATTTAAGAACATCACAGCTGGAATGCTCCTCCTCATGTCTTCCCTACATAGTTCCTGCCACAATTTAAATTCATTTATGAGAATGACTAGACATTTACAACGGGCACATTCTAGAGCCATGAACTTGCTTCCTGTTATTCCAAAGTTTCTTTTTGCCTCTTCTTTTAGAAAGAATAAAAATGTGTTTAACACCTCCCAAATTATCCAGATTGGGGTACAGGAGTCCTTTTACCTCAGCTCCAGGTAATGGGAGAAGTTCAATCAAGCAGTGAATTCCTGGCATGGTGTGAAAGGCCCCGATGAACCTATCCTTCACAACATTCCTGGAATTAAGTGGGAAATGGGGAGCCAACACTCATGTGATCTGAAGAGCTATGGTGACAAAAGGGCACAATACAATTAAAGACAGAAGAAAATTAGTCAATCCTGTGGCAGAGGACCAGCAAGAAGAGTGGGAAAAACAACCTCTCAAAAGATAACTCCTACTTCAATATTTTAGAGGTTTGTTATTAGGTAAATAAAAGGGATCAAGAAACAACTAGGGTTGAAGAGAAGTACAGCTAAGCTTTCTAGTTGCTTCTGAATGAATTGAGGGTGAATGTCTTCGAGATCAACATTGGCAGCAGTCCACAAACTCTTTGGGCAGAGTATTTAGTAGAGTGAGGACTGGCTAGTGAGCCATTTGCTAAGCTCCAGGAAAAACACCCATATTGGTCTCTCCTTAGAAACAAATTTTTGGAAGCAAATCTTGCTATCTTTAGAAGCAAATCTTAAACCGAGAGAATTCCCAAGTCACATTTCCTCAGCTAAATCTTCGGGAAATCAACAATAACTAGAAACAACACTTACATAACCAATTTTTTGCTCTTTGTCAAACACTTCCATATTCATTATATCATTCTGAGTACTTACAGCAACCATGGGAGGCAGGGATTATTTTTTTCATTTTACAAATAAGGAAAGGGAGGCCCAGAGAAATAAAGTGATTAGTCTGAAGTCAACAAGAACGTTAGTGGTATTCTAAGTCTCTAACTGCCCTACCACCAAGACCTGCCTTCAGTTCTACCTCTCTAGGAGCCTAGATGGGATATGAGGAGTAGTCTGAGAGGTCAGTACCACACTGTCGAAGGGGAGAAAGACTACAGATGAAAGAACTCTTGCTACTGGCATAAATGTATTTAACAAGCTTGAGAAGCCAATAGTAAGTCAGTCATCCTCTGAGAAAAAGGGAAGGCAAACCTCTTTCCTGTCCTCGCCAGAGTTCCCACCTTACCCTCACACCCCTAATACAAACTAATATCGACCAACTAAGGTACTTTAGCATGGTTTTCCCTTGTAAGTCCCCAGTAGGTCTGGGGTGGGATCTAAGGATCTGCATTTTTAACAATTTCCCAGGGGATACTGATTCTGCTGCTCTGAGGACTAGACAAAAAGATTATTCTTTAAATCATTAAAATAATTAGATTTTAAATGTAAGGGGGAAAACATCTGCACATCGATTTAAATAAAACAATAACTGACAAATATAAATAAAGGCTGTATTTGTATTTCTGGAAGCAGAGAAACAAATTAACAAAAAGATAATTCAGAAAGATTACAATTTTTGTCAACATATTCAATAGCCTAGTTTAATCTCTTCTGAAATCTTTTGTCACTGAAACAGACAGAGATAGGGTATCCACACTAATTTCTCTCTACCTAATACCAAATCTCAGAATGGGAGCTTGCACAAAAACAGAAACAGCAGAGGATGAATCCACCCAACAAGGACAGGAAAAATCCCTATGATCTCAGCTCCAGGCCCAGTGTCGATGACCTACCATCATCATCCTCTCGTTTTCTACTTCATTGAGCAATTCAGCAAATTCTTTGAAGGATTCAGCTGGAAGGAGAGAATAAAAGACGAAGCAAATTAATCATGTGGCTTGATAGGCAAGTGGACAGAGATCTGTGGGACATGAGGTAGGGACCAGTGTCCCAAACTCACATGGCCACTTGAGGAAGGTGCCAAATGCTAATGAATGTTTCTTTATTGCTAACACCTCTGAGCTCTTTCATAGGTGATATTTCATTTAATCCTCACAGCTACACTTGGGAACAGCCAGGACTTCTCTCATTTCATAGACAAGCAAACAGATTAGAAGAGGAGGCAATGAGTTACTGTGGAAAGGCTCTACAGTAGATCCCAAGATTTGGGTTGAGTCCCTGCTCCACTACTCACAAACCCAAACAACTTTCTGTCAATCAATTTAGACTCATCATGCCTCAATTCCCTCATTTGTAAAATATTAATAATAGTTACTTCAGAGTAGGTATGGAGATCAAATGAAATAATGGGATGGCAACAGGTTTTATTATCATTTTCCTTAGTTTTAGAAGCACTGAGGTTGAGTAAAAAGCACATTCAACTCACCACCTGTGTGACCTTAAGTAAGTTACTCATTCTCTCTGAGGCCTATTTTCCTTTTCTAAAAATAATTCCTATCTCAGTGGGTTGCTCTGATGTCTAAGTAAGATAATACATGCACAGTTCTCAGCACACATGGCAACCATTCAATCACTGTTAGTTCTCTTCCTTTCTTCTTGTTCTAAGGTAGTGATTGTCTTCCCTAACTACACATTAACTGAGGCACACTCACTGCTGTCAAGTTGATTCCAACTCAAAGTGACCTTATAGGACAGAGTAGAACTCCCCCATAGAGTTTCCAAGGCTGTAAATCTTTACGGAAGCAGACTGTCACATCTTTCTCCCAGAGCGGCTGGTGGATTTGAATCACCAGCCTTTAGGTTAGCAGCCAAGTGCTTAACCACTGCACCACCAGGGCTCTTTATTAACTGAGGAGCTTAAACAAATACCAGTGACACACTCCTCCCCAGACCAATTAAACCTGGATTCACCTGCTAAGTGCCAGAAAGTTTGATTGGCCTGACACAATAAAAATGCAGAGCTTGAGTCAGGAAATAAAGTTTAACTATCTGGGAGTATGTTCTTACATTAAAAAAAAATGAATAAAACAAAATTATAACAACAAAACTATACTCTAGTAGTAAAAAGAGCAGTAAGACCCAGCTACTCTCTTGTACACTCTTTGACTGATTCCTGTTATATTTAACCCTCCCCCTCCCCAATTTTATCAGGGGAACGTGGACATTAGGTCTAAAAACATAAACAAGGTAAATACCTTGTTCCACAGTAACACAACGGAGTCATATGGTCTTGTCCAAACCCTCATGTGATGCTTCAAGACCCTGGGAAACATCCACAATTATTAGTTATCCAGCCCCTGCTCAAACACCTCCAATGACATGATGGTATGGTAACAAACTTGTCCTGATGTGCGTAGGACTGTCCGAGTTTTAAAACTGAAATCCCCACGTTCCAAGAAATTTCCCAGCCCTGGGCAAACCGAGGCAGTTCGTTACTCTAAATGCCTGGGTGCTTACTCTCTCCTGTAGTAAGTCATTCCCCACTTTTTGGATGTCTCTATTAAAGCTTCTTCCTTAATATTAATGAAAAATCCACCTCCCTGTATTCTAGTTGTGTTTCTTCTCAGTTTCTTGAAGAAAGAGACCTTTGCAGGATTGAAGATAAAAAAGGCAAATGGTATCTTAGAAAGAATATTAGACAGGGTGTTAGATGATGAGGATTCTAGCTTAGGAGTCAGCATAGAGAAATAAAAGGAGCACAACCTCGAGAGAGAGAGAGACCTGGATTTACAACAATATTCTGCCACCCTCTCACTATCTGACTTAACCTTTGATCTTCAGTTGCATCAGTTGTAAATTGGGCATCATGATATTCATCTGAGAGTGTTTCTGTAAGGATTAAACTAGATGGTAAATGTAGAGTGCCAACACATAAACCAGTAAACCCATTGCTGCCGAGTCGATTCTGACTCATGGTGACCCCATTGTGTCAGAGTAAACTTGTGCTCCCTGGGGTTTTCTTCGCTGTTTTTTCAGATGTAGACTGCCAGGCCTTTATTCTGAGGTGCCTCTGGGTGGACTTGAACTTCCAACTTTGTTAGCAGCTGAATGCGTTAATCATTTGCACCACCCAGGGACTCCTGCCAACACACAGTATGTGATATATGATAAATGTTAGTCCCTTCTCCCCCAACCTTCTACTCTTCTAGTCTCAGTTCTGCCACTTACTGGAAGGATGACTGTCAGCAAGTCACTTCTTCTCCCTGGACTTCAATTTATTCATATACATAAATAGTAAACTAAGCTAAACAGTTTTTAATATCCCTTCAAATTCTAATAACTACTATTCTAAATCTCCCAACTTCTCACCAGAAACAGGAAGTATATTCTCAAGTGGTATCTGAATTAAAGAAAATATACTGAAAACCTGGAAAAAACAAATGCTGCCATGTTAACATTTTTCTAATAAAAAATAGATCTTACCCTCCTATGGGGACTGGACAACTTGTCCAGTATTTCTAGTATCAAGGAAACTAAGTTCAGGGTCAATACAGGACACAAAACAATGTGTTTCTTCTGAAGATTAAGTTGCACAAATACCTGGGAAAATGACCTTTGCAAAAAACTGCAAATTTATTCAAAACTGTACCACAGCATAGAGAAGAAAAAATTCTAAGTAAGACTCAGAGAGAGTAAACAGGAAAAAATGAGAATGTTCATTAACCTCCTGCCTTCAAATACTTTATGCTACGAAAAAAGTGACAGAATTTTTTTTTGTTTTTCTGGCATACTCTAGGCAAGATGAGCTTGCCTCTAAAGGAAATGTGACAAGTACATTGGAATGTTTTCAGGAAAAGATTAATTTCTGGAACTGTAAATGTGTCAAGCCCTCCAGCTGAGGTTTATATACATTAGACCAATCAATCCTCACAATGACATTGTTAGGTAGGTGCTACTATCCCTAATTAAAAAGGGAAAAAACCAAGGCTCACAGACACTGAGCAGCTTGTTCAAGGTCACAGAGGAAGTTAAATATCAGAGCTAGGTTTCAAATTCAGGCCTGTAGTCCTGAAAGAGCTAAGGTCTTGCCACTGTCACACTGCCCATACCTCTCCTGGTAGAGGTAGTTGATAATTAGATTATCAAAAACCACAGGAATAGATTATCAAACAGAGAAAGTGGGAAGCCACTCATACCAGCAGCTAGGCTTTTAAAATGAGTCTAACATTATCATTCACAAGAAAGAGACTCAAAATTCCACTATATTAAGGATGTCTCACAGTGAGTTTTGGCTAAGAAGGTCACAACTTTTTTTTCTTTTCTAATTGAGAAAAAATTTACATGCCATAAAATGCACTGCTTTTTAGGTGTATAATTCAGTGGTTTTTAGTACATTCACAATATTGTGGAACATCACCACTAATTACAGAACACTGTCATCACCCCCAGATAAAACCTTGAATCCATTAGCAGTAATTCCCCATTCCCCGAATTCTGGCCCTTAGCAAAGATTAATCTACTTTCTGTCTCTACGGATTTGCCAATTCTAGGCATTTCATATAAATGGAATCATACGGTATCTGGTGCTTTGTGTCTGGATTCTTATTCCCTTAGCATAATGTTCTCAAGGTTCATTCATACCGTAGCATGTACTTCCTTCCTTTATATAGCTCAGTAATATTCCAGTGTATCAATACACCACATTTTGTTTATCAATTCATCAGGTGATGGGTATTTGGGTTCTATTTATCGAAAATTATGAATAGTGCTGCCATAAACCTTTGTTTACAAGATTTTGTTTGAACACCTGTTTTCAATTCTTCGGGGTATATACCTAGCAATGTAATTGCTGGGTCACATGGTAACTCTATGTTTCATTTTTTTAGAAACTACCAAAGTTGTTTTCCAAACAGAATGCATCATTTTACATTCCAATCAGCTATGTATAAGAGCTTAAATGTCTATATATCCTTGCGAACACTTGTTATCTTCCATCTTTTTGATCATTACCATCCCGGTGGATGTGAAGTGGTGGCACCTCATTGTGGTTTTTATTTACAATTACCTCATGACTAATGGGGAGCACCACTGGCACAGTGGTTAAGAGCTTAGCTGCTAACCAAAAGGTCAGCAGATAGAATCCAACAGCCGCTCCTTGGAAACCCTATGGGGCAGTTCTCCTCTGCCCTACAGAGTCGCTACAGAATCCCTGTGAGTTGGAATTAACTTGATGGCAACGAGTTTGGTTTGGTTTGTTAACGACTAATGATATTGAGCATCTTTTCATGTGCCTATTGGCCATTTGTATATCTTCTTCGGAGAAATGGCAATTGAAATCCTTTTCCAAGTTTTTAATTGGGTTATTTGTCTTCCCATTGTTGATTTGTAAGAGTACTTCATATTCTGAACACAGGTCCCTTGTCAGAGATATGATTTGCAAAAAGTTTCTCCCATTATGTAGGTTGCCTTTTCATTTTCATTATAGTATCCTCTTATGCATAAACATTTTTTAATAGTCTAAATTATCTATTTTTTCTTTTGCCACTTGTCTTTTTATAATCATATATGAGAAAACACTGCCTAATGAAGGTCATAAAGATTTATACCTGTTTTCTTCTAAGAATACTATACATTGAGCTCGTACATTATGTTGTTGATTCACCTCTTTTTTTTAATTGTGTTTTAGGTGAAAGTTTACAACTCAAGTTAGTGTCTCATACAAAAATTAATACACATATTGTTTTGCAACATTAGTTACAATCTCCAAAATCTGAGAGCACACTCCCCCTTTCCCTGTGTCCACTCAACCAGTTCCTGTCCCTTCCTGCCTTCTCATCCAGCCTCCGGACAGGAGCCATGCATTTGGTCTTGTGTATCTGACTGAAAAGAAGCACACTCCTCACGTGTATTATTTCTTGTTTTATACTCTTGTTTAATCTTTGTCTGAAGAGTGGG